AAATAGATTACCCATTCGGAATGGGCATCCGAAGATGCATACTCTGCGAGTGCTGGCTCCGGTGTCAGATCGAAAGCGGGAACTGCGCACGCATCCTTTAAACGCCTTCCGTTCAACTTCTGCTCACTCTCCCTGCAACCATTCTCCCACCCCGTTTGCACGCTCTCCGGCACGATATTCGATCTCACGAATATAATTCCCTGGATTAAGAAACATGGCACAAATCCCGTAGACGGAACCGCTCTCAAAAGCTCCGACCTTATAAAACTGAATTTTGCGAAAAATGACGAGGGCGAATATGTTGATCCCGTTACTTATAAAGCGTTCACGGATAATACACATCTTGTGGCTTTGAAACCATCGGGAACCGTTTTTGCGTGGGACACAGTGGAAAAGCTAAATGTCAAGGCAAAGATGTGGAGAGATCTGGTAACGGACGAGGAGTTTGGACGGAAGGATATCATCACTTTGCAGGACCCGCAGAATATCGAGTCGAGAGATCTCAGCTCATTTAAATATATAAAAGATGGAGAGAACACAATGTCAGATGAACAGCTGCGGGTAAAAAACAGTAACGTGAACCTAAATGCTATGGGGAGCTCCGCGAAGATCTTGAAGGCCAAGGAGGCTGTTGCGAAAGCACGCGCTGAGCGCGAACAAAAAGCAAACGCCGCTGCTCTTGAAAAATCGAAGGGGAGGGATGCTACAGCTTTTGGTAAAGATGGTTCCGCGAAAGGGTCAATAATGAATCAAATCAAGAAACCAACTCCATACAACGCAGCGAAGCACACGACGGGGCTTGCAGCTGCCTCTTTTACTAGCACTGGCCTCACCCCGCATACATCGGCCGACCTTGCTCTTCTCACTGATGAACAATACATGTTGCGACGGGGCCGCGTTAACATCAAGGGGTATGCGCGCATTAACACCACGATGGGAGATCTCAATCTTGAACTACACACAGAACATGCACCCAAGGCAGTTTGGAACTTTATTCAGCTAGCTAAGAAGGGATATTATAATGATGTCACCTTCCACCGGAACATTAAAGGCTTCATGATTCAGGGTGGTGATCCCACTGGTTCCGGCAGAGGTGGTGAAAGTATCTGGGGAAAGAATTTTGAGGACGAGATTGAGGGGCCGTTCAAACATGATGCAAGAGGGACGGTGAGCATGGCTAATAAGGGCAAAAATACGAATAGTAGTCAATTGTGAGTACAACAACGTCCGTTCATCTATTTCACCCTCCGCCGGTAGACACGCATGAGAATTGTCCCCTTAGTATGTGCCAATTGAAATATCAAACACCACTAACCCATCAAAATCAGCTTCATTGCCTACCGCGCTCTCCCCCATCTAAATCTCAAACATACCATATTTGCCCGTTTAATCGATGACCCTTCACCCTCATCTACGACTCTCAACGCCCTAGAAACTGCCCCAGTAGATTCCACCAACAAACCCACCACACCTATCCGTATTCTCAATGTAACAATCTTCGTCGATCCATTCGAAGAATTCTTGAGCCAGAAACGCGCAGACGAGGAAGCGCAAACGGGCGCCGCTGGTGGCGCTTCGAAAGGTTCTGGCTCGAGAGACGAGCAGAGCGATGACGAGCTAACCTGGACAGGTAAGCGCGTGCGAACTGGAGGCGCGGCGAATGGCGCTGCAGCCTCTGGTGGAAGTTCCGGTGTGGGGAAGTATCTTAAAGCAGCTACCACCGCCGCCGCTGCCGAAGCTCAGACAAAGGCTGGTGAAGACGAAATTGTAGAATTTGTCGATGAGGAGCCCGAGCCTGAACATGTGAGAAAGAAATTCAAAGCTGCGAGTGGAGGTGGTGGGTTTGGCAATTTTGATAGTTGGTGAAGAAAATTTCATGTGTTTCTTTTCGGGTCGGTATTTGTTATCTTTCCCATGAGGCCCTTATATTCTGTATTTTATTTTATACCAACATTTTCCAGTGGCATTCAAGTCTTCACGGCGCAGCTAGGTGATGGGAAACCTTGAGACGACAGTTCCGGATTTTTTGTGGGGATGGAATAAATGGCGTTTTGCAAGAATTTTCTGGTTTTCTACTTGGAAGATTGGGATTGAATGGATTATATTGAAACACTACGTTAGCGATAGGCTCCCGTCAATAGATAATTCTTCATTGGGGATTCTGGGCCTGCCAATCGAGCAGCAGTTGTCAAAATCGATAACTTTCGTGCAAATAGGCTCCCCTGACACTAGAACGCAACCAGAGCAAGCCAATGACTTCAGCGCGAGTATCATTGTCATCTACGAAAGTGGTTTTATAATGTCCTAACCCTACATAATCCGCGCTTACGACAATTCACTGACCATACAAAGAATGCCGTCCCTGTCAGCTTCAGGGGGTTACTAGCAGTAGATACAGTGCCGATTGTCGAAGAGAGCAAAAGGAGTAACGCTTAGACTCTATAAAGGACCCAATCGAGTGGGGAATCCACAAGCATTTGGGGTATGATATAAAGAAAGAATAAATATCATCATGAGCGGTGGGGGACATACAAAGAAACCAGGGGGATTGGGAAAGCTCAAAACAAAACGGCGCTGGTGAATGCTCTAAAAGAGGGGGGAAAGCGAAAGCTTCAACAAGCAAGTGATCATTTCCCTCCTCCTCCCTACCAAGAATCGTTAAGTTGAGATCAAGCCCTTCCCTAGAAGTTCCTGTCCTACTTCTTTAAGAAGTGGCTCTTTTGCAAACGGCTTCGCTTGCGCTTTCTCTTTCACAATCTCCTGAGCTTTCATCACCCTGCACAAGTCCATGACCTCCCCATCAATAGGCGCAAGGTATACAAACAGTCCCAGGGATAATAGGTGACCATGAAGACTTTCCACGCTCTCAGTCTCCAGCCTGATAGCTTCAAGCAGCGACGCAACCAGTTCTACCTGGTCCGCCTCCGACAGCCGATCTGGCGCCTCATCCAGTCTCGCATTATGGTTAAACGCCGCAAGATTATACATGAACGATGCGCCAGCTGCGCGCAGACTGACCTGTGTGGCAAGGAGGGAGGACGTGGCGATTTTTATGCAGGTTTCGCGGAGAGTGTCGTGGGATACTATTTGATCTAGATATAGGGGCGACGTGAAGAGGTTGCAGGCCAGCTGTGTCATTACGAGTTGCTGGTTGTAAGGGCAACTGGACAGATTGCTGGTTCCGCCCAGTAGAGTTAATAGTGATTGGTGTGCTTCTTCCTCTGCGAAGAAGCCACTGACACGGGCGTCGGAGAATGTGGCACGAACTAGATCGATAATTGCAAAATGAACGGCCTGCGGGAGGGACGAGAATCTGGATTTGACGAAGTCTTGCAATAAGGAGAGGTTGGGTAGTGCAGCGTCCGCTGGGCCACCACTATCTCTTGATTTGAGGAACTTGACCAAATCCTGAAGGGCAGGTTCCTCGCCTGTCGAGCCGAGTTTTTGAATCAATTTATCTAGCGGGGGGATCTTCTTGTATAGCACGTAGGTGCCTATGGGACGTTCTAAATTCGGTAGCCTCAGTCGCCTATGAGGATGAGGCGGCCAAGCCATTTCGATAAGAAGTCGAACGTTTCCTCGTAATGTACCTTCGTTCGCGCCACTCCATTCACCTTCTTTCTTTCCTTTGAGAAATGTCATGAAAGTTGGCGTCGCCCTGACCCCGTATTTCGTGCTGACATCAAAAGCGCGAGATAAATCCACTTTGATTAGGACAGCTTTGTCGCCAACTTCTTCTGCAAGTTCATCATACACCGGATACATTATTTTGCATGGTGGGCACGTTGCGGAGGTGAAAAAGATCACTGCGCACGAGGACCTCGCAGAGTTTAGGAGCTCCTCTACCTCCCTATTGCTTGTAACATTGCGGACATACCCTTTCTTCACAGGGTGTGAAAGCTTCGTGTGCCCAGTGACGGGTCTTGTAGCGCCGTTTGCTTCAAAGAGAGGAGGCTGGTTTGCGGCAACTGGATAAGGTCGCTCCGGGCCTTGAGTTGCACCGCGAAGCATACCATCAATATATGGCCTCATCATTTGGCCAAAGGGTGTGTTCAGAAAAGTCTCAGGAAGGTTTCTGATATGATCAGGGATACCCTTTCCAACTAAGAATGTGGCGAGATCATGTGTAAAATTGTTGCAGTTGCGGAGGAAAAGATCGTAGGACTAGTGACCGCTTTGATATAAGCCTGGGTCTTGCCTAACTTGTTCACATATTTTATTTTGGGAGCAAGGAGGGGCACAATAAAGAGTTACATACATCTTCCGTGTAAACCTCCGCTAAAGACTCCATGTACTCAACTATCACCTCGATTGGAAGCTGGGAAGTACCCATGTGGATCATCTCGATGGGTTCTCCATGGTGGGTTGTTCCAGGGGGCGCTTGCTGAATCCCTCTACCAAAGAAGTATTCCACGCCCCCGAATACTAGAGACGTGTGATATATTGCATCTATCTGGGTACCAGTTATAGCAAGTGAGAGCTATCGGGAGTTAGCAGTCGCTTGATAGGAGAGGAGAAGCTGGAACTTGCTCTCGCTTACTTACTTGTCGAGCAAGGCCCTAGTGCATAGTTAGATGTCGTTAGCTAATGTCGTAGTAAAACCAACAGTTGGGGTCAATCATGCACCTTTGAGATATCATAAATACATAATACAACGTCCATGTTCCACCAGGGTAAGGCAGTGGAGCTGAATATCCCCGCCGTGCTACGGGAGAACGATATCAGATGAGTTGAACAGTGCAAGCCTAAATAAATGTACCAAGTACAAAATAACACGAAAACCTCCCCAAGAGCAAAAAATGAGTGTACCCCGAATTTATATAAGGTGTGAATATCCCAGGCTTCTATCTGACGTATGTTCCAACAGACAGACGTGATGAATGATGGACTTATTTATTATATAATGCGCCAAGCCCGACGTCAACCACACGCTGCCAGTAACTCCGCAGCGCGGATATGATATTGACCATATATCACCAGCCGCGATTTATGTCTTAAATATGGTATGTGATAGTCAATGAAGCAATGAAGATATCAACCTCTAAGTCACGTTAACTCCTTGCTAACCAATCGACCCAAAATCAACCACCGCAGCCACCAAAACGGCGCTCCGCACCCTCTTCCTCCGCAACGAAGAGAACGCGTCAGTCCAAACTTGCCAAAGAGAACGATATCACCGGTGATGAAGAGGCGGAAATTAAAGAAGCGTTTCATCTCTTCTCTACCAAAAGCGACGAGTATCCCGCTGAGAAAGAAGGCGTAATTAAAACCCAAGATGTCCGTCGCGCACTGATGTATGTTTGCAATATACCCCATGCCCCCTCCCGCCCCCGGGGGCCCCAGAGCCGTTAATCAACCGAAATGGGCTCCGTATACTCCCCTCCTTCTTGCTTCCTGTCCAACTCACCACACACACTCAGATCCCTCGGCCTCCCACCCACAGATCAAAAAGAGCTAGCCTCCATCCTCTCCGCCGTCGACCCCACCTCCACCGGCCTAGTAACCTACGAACCATTCCTCTCCGTCTGTGCCCTGAAACTGCACTCGCGCAGCGACGACGCCATCGCTGCCGAAGTCGAGCATGCGTATAGACTGTTCACACGCGGGACTGCGGGACCCATATCCGTGGCGCATTTGAGAAGGGTGGCGAGGGATTTGAAGGAGGATGTCAGTGAGGACTTGTTAAGGGATATGGTAAGGGAGGCGAATGGTGGGGATGGGCTGCATGCTGGTGTCTCGCTAGAGCAGTTTAGGGAGGTTATGGTGAGGGCGGGGGTGTTTTGAGGGCGGGAAGGGGAGGTGAGGCGTTGAATTGCGGTTGGGGTCTTCTTGTCCTTTGGTAATTCCTACGGTTGAAGGGTTTAATTCTCGAGATGTTCCCGGCGAAGGCGTTCAGGATGATATCGGTAACATATTTTATTTGAAGCAAGAGACATCCGTAGATAGCATAATTAATGGTATATGAATTAACTACTAAGGGTATACAAAGACACTGTTTATACAGCACATACTCCGCTCACGTTCTGAAAAAAACCAACGTAGGTGGTAGTGGCCATGTATCGTAAAAGGAGACACCGACTGGCCTATATCCAGCAAGTGTCCGTGTAAGATGGTCGCATCCATGCGCCCCGGCCAACCGGACTAAAAAAAAAGGGAAAAAGACAACAAGAATCAAGACGCCAAACCAATGCCTATAAGCGAATGAATACGGCGTCGGACCTCTATTCCATCGCACGTTGTTAACACCTGTAAAAAAGGGAAACAATGGTAAGGAATTCTACCGGAACCTCTTGAATAAAATACAACCCGTAGAAATCGTAAATCGATCCAACCGCTGGAGCCTATAAGCCTCAAGTAGTTAATGGCAGATTTAGAACTCCGAGTAATAGACTAGCATATGTAAACGGGACGTGTTCTCATGACTAGTTATCATGCCTTGACCATCGAAGGGCCAGGGTTCACATTGGAACAGGTCTCCTGGGTGTTTTCGAATGGTGTCACGGCCGTCTTCATTGCTGGGGCAGGCTGGATTTTATCTGTCCCAGGAGAGCCGTTTTCACAGGAGAATGACGATGCGGTAGATGTATCAGAGACGTCAGAATTCGGCGAATAATGGCCAGCCACAGAGCCAGTCGATGTTCCTGATGAGTCTGGTCGATTTTCCATCTTATCTAACTTATCCGCAACAACGTTTCGGGAGCGTAGGGTACCACCAAACCCTGAATCTGCTCCTTGAGAATTGAACGAAATTTCCTGCAAGGGAATGTCTTCCTGCCCAGGTCGTTTCTCATCCATAGACTCGGTCGCTATCTCACGATGTTCATCGATACACTCGTAAAACAACATAAATACACCCCCCTGAGAAAGCACATTGCTCTCACTGACTACACTGACATCTGCGTCACTGAGCCTGAACCAGCGTTCCGTGGCCTCCTTCTCCCCATCCGCATCTACAACAGCCTGGGGAACAGTAGCCGGGAACGACTCGACAGAATACTTTCTATAACAAATGTAATGCCCATTCTCGTGTCGCCCGTAATGAGTTATCACTGCCCGCAGCTCGTAGCCCCTGTGAGGAATGTCTGGGTTGGTTCCAGGGCGAGAGAGCATGGACTCTGAAGGTTTCATGCACCAGGACTCTATGACCTCGCCGTGTTCCCCCGCCGATTTCGACCCCAAACACCATTCACCCAGATCCAAAATCTTTGGGAACCTTACATCAGCATAGTTTTTCCGGAGCATGCCGGTCGTTTCGTTGAATACACTCCGGTTCACGTGGATAACAAGAGACTTGGGTGCTCTTGCAATGACTGCTTGTCTTGATTTTGTAGACGAAACACGATTCCGGGCGGGAATATGGCACTTCTCAGATAAAGTCTTTTCAGAGAAGTCTTCATTCTCAAGCGCTTCCTGGACGACTTTTAATCTCGTTTCAGCAGAACTTCGTAAAGCATCCGCCAGCCGAGGAATGCTGGCTCCTTCATCAAGCTCCGCATCTGAATCAATCTGTTTCAAGAGCTGCTCCAGCTGACGTTGGGTTCGTAGAAGTGTACATTTAGCACATTCAACACCATCAATAGCTTCCAAATGTGTATATTCGTCCAAGCAATCTCGAATATCATACTCCCAGTTGGGGCCTAGCGACACCGTGAGGCAGTTAAAAGGAATAATTGAAAGTCCCTCTGTCCATCCACATCGCATACATCCAACGCGTTGAGCGAGGAGGCCCTCGAGTGGGTTGCGGAAAGTGCACGTGTACTCTCCGTACCCAGGAGCCTTGAGTTCGTCGTTGACCTGCCTCCTTTCATAGGCTGGAAAAGGGCCAACCTTATGGCTATTCCGTTCCGTATCAACAAACCTGAGGCCAGCGTCGCTTGTTAGGCCCTTAGAAGCTCGGCGAATTTCTTTATCCACTTGATCAATCACTTTAGAAAAATATTCTTGCGCATCTTGCTGTTGCCAACTGCTCATCGACTTCAATTCCGGAGGCGTCCATAGTTTTCGGCCTCCGTATGAGGGGTTATTCAGTTTGTCAATGATGTCCTTTAGAGCGGTATGAGTGCAAAAGGGGTCGCGATCGCCTAACTCGCGGAGATTTCCTTCCAAAAATTTATCTAAAGCACGAAGCGATGCAAATCCCTGAATGATGCTATTTTGATAACAGGAGTTATCCCAATTGCCAAGTCCGGGGGGGCAAGGTTCCTTCAGCCCCAAAAAGGCCTGTCCTATTCCCGAGAGACTCCTTCCCCGAGGTAGGGATGTGAGAAGTGAATTCGCATCCAAGCCTAGGATCCTCTGCATTGCGGCGCTTTTTGCGGCGTGTCTAGTTCTCCGTGTCCAAGAGGGGGGTGCGTCCAACTCAGAATCCGGTCTAGAAGCAAATTCCTTATCTAAAGCTAATATAATGCGTGAGGGAGTAAGGAAGACGATGAGGTTCCAGGAGGTTTGCAGGAGCGTTGAAATAATGAGATCGAGGTATTTGAAGATGCAGTAGCCCAAGAGCACTAATACTGCAAAGTACGCTATAGTCGATCGGTCAGGTATCCATTCGCCGAATCGGTCATCGCGAGAGTTATCTTTCCGCAGTGTAGTATAAAGGTGGTGGAGACGACGGTGGGAGGAGAAATCCGAAGGGCCGGGCATATTTCATGAGCGAGGCAAGAGGAAGGCACCAGATGCTGTCGAAAAGGAGGCATCGGGCTGTCACAGTGGTTGACCAGAGAAGTCACTAGCTATCCGCATGTTCGGGGCTTGTAGATATGTAGTGTCAGCAGTGAAGCATGGATAGTAAATGACACAGTGAAATTCTGGCATGTGGGGGAGGTCGAGCACTGAGATGAGCTTGATGTTGATGCTGAAGTTGTTGGCGAGAGAGTTGAAGCTAGGAATGACGGGGAAAGTTCCAAATATTAGCCAGAGCGAGGTGGGCGAGATGCCGCTAACCTAATTTGGGATTAGGACCTGCACAAGTGGTCGCTATGCCCCGCTGGGGATTTTATGCACCTTCGTCCAACGCAACAATCCCGCAACCCTCTAGTGATAAATATGTCATTCAACATAACAAACCCACCACAATCATGGCAAAAACTCCGAAACTGAAGGCAAAGATTACCTGTTAGTATTCCCCAAGACAACTTGTATATGGCTACATACCAGCTAACAAAATCCCCTCTTCTTAAAGCAAAATCCCTTCGCTCAAGGGCTGTAAAGCGAGCCGTTTCTCCAACCGATGAATCGCTATTGAAATCTCTTCCCAGAGCGGAGCCAATCCCGACATTCAAGCCACATGTCCTATCCGCGCAGCATAATGCCGGTATTACAAAGAAGTCCAAATCCAAGCAGCTGACTCGTGCCCAGCGGAGGCGGCAAGAGAAGGGAATGGAACGTGCAGAATTCGTCATGGATAAAACTGAAAAGAAAATAGCCAAAAGTCTTGGTAAAGGGAGGGTTGTGAAAGAGCGAAGGGTGAGGATATTATTTTTTCCTTTCTTTGCTTTTGCCAGTGATATATTTTTTTGCTGGACTTTTTTTTACTTTCCCTTTCGTTTATATGGATAATAAAGCTAATAGAGAAATAGGCGACGTGGGAGGAGATGAATCGTAAGGCCCTTGCTGCACTTGGCAAGCTGGTCTCAGGGGGTGGGGATGAGGACAACGCTGAGGTTATGGACGAAGATGGTGCATCAAAAGGGACATCTACACAAACAACAAAAGCGATTTCTAAGCCTTTACAACAGGCGGCGCCTACCCAAAAGTTTGAATTCGAAGAAGATGGAGAAATCACCTAAAGAGGGCTGGCTCTATATACTGTGGTATCTGACATCCCGAACGAACGGAACTAAAAGAAGACAGAAGAAAAACTACCGCATTTGCCAGAGGGTTGGGGGATTTTTCTATTTCCTTGGCCTTAATTGGTTGATCATTCGGTCAATTTCACCCACGGCAAGACCGGATGCTTTCCCTCTGAGCACTTCCAGGCTGTCAACGTCCTTGGCCTTAAGTGCCTCCTCTCCAGCCTTAACCACCATCCCGCACTTCACCCACATCTCGATTCTCTCGCTGACTGGCAGATTGGTGCACTTCGGAATGAAAATTGATGCGAGTTTGGTATTTCCGGCGCTTAGAATTTCATCGTAAAATGGCTGGGGGATTCATGTTAGCATTGACTCCAATATATATAGACTAATGAATGAATGAATATAAAATCATGAGACAAAATCGAAATCAAGAAAAAAGAAGGGAAATAATATTACCTCCCATCCAATCGGAGATTTCTTGGGTTTCGCAAGCTCCTCAAGCTCTCCCCAATCTCGTTTGGCTACCAAAGCCCTCAATCTCACCCACCAAAAAGCCTTCTCCGGTACCTTGAATTCACTTTGTATTTTGTTCGCACGTTTTCCATATCCAGATTTTATTAATCTGTACATAGTTTCGTTTATGCTCAGGCCAACAAATTCAGTACTGCCGTCCGCAATATCCTTATCTAGTCCATCTTGAATTTTCAAGAGTTGCGCAGCTTCCGCCAATGATTTCTGATGCGATTGCACGCTCGCATCTTTGGAGTCCACCAACAATCTAGACGCTAATCGTAGCTTGTCTCCAATAGCTTGTGGGTCTGATTGAGCCAGCGCATCTCTCAAAAGTAGGTTTGAACCATCAACTGAACGATCATCCTGATAATACAAATCTTTGAGTAACTCCACATCTTGAGATCGGGCAGATGCCTCCACGAGGGCGGATGCAACAGGGCGAGTATTGATCGTTCGGAAAAATGTTGCCAGGGGAAGTTTCCGTTTAAGCTGCAATAGGACAAAATATATTAGGTCCGTGTCGCCACTTTCTATGGCTTTGTCCAACGCAAGGTTATCTTCTTCCATATTCAAAAGGAGCGGCACCTGCCTTCCTGCTCGTGGCTCGAAATTAAGTAGCTGAGTGGCCAGATGCCCACGACCTTCATCATAGGCAGATTGTGCTATCGTTTCAAACGATATCCCTCGCTTTCCCTGAAGTTTTTCTACAACCATATCGCAAATGGTGTCGTCATCTTCCGCGGAAGTCTTGACCTTTTGGCTAGCCCAGTGGACATAAATTTTATCCGTCGGGAGGCGGAGATATTCGGAAACGCGGATTGCAAGCAGATACTCGTGCCGGTGGGTCAATCGTTCAATCAACTTCTCCGGAGTCAGGCGGAGATATTGTTCGTACGAAATAGGGATACCGATCCGATAGTCGCGTACTGCATTCAGCACTCGCAGACGTTCACACATATCCACAAAGTCGTCACTATTGTAAACATCAATAACCGACTTTCCAAATGATGCTGCCTTTAGGAGCTGTTTTTGCCAATATGTATTAAATTCGTGGCCTGCTGCCTTTACACAGGTGTCGACGGCTTCGAGAAGGTTACCACGGATGTGCTGAATGTTCTCATCAGCTTTCGGGGATTTCTTCTCGAGTAGTCCAACCGAATCAAGGAGAATTGAAGCGGGAGAAGTCGAGCCCAGCCTGAATACTTCTTCCGTAGCATCTATGGGTAGATCAGCGGCCTATATCACTTTCTATAATGTACCTCGACAACATACCGGGGACCTTGTGAATAAATTCACATGCGTCATTGGTGAGCAATCTCACACCGTCAAAATCCGGAATGATATGAACGCGGCCGTCGTAAAAATATCTTGACTGAGGTCAGTTATATAAGCCAGATTGAACAAAATAAATTAGAAGGCCAACCTCGCCGCAGCCCCATTAGGGCCAACCATATGGACTTCGTCCTCCCAAGAGAGGACAACGGAATCATTGCCACACCACACCACGTTGTTTGGAGGTGTTCTGGTCCCGGAATGATATTCGCTAAGTTTGTTTTGGAAGTCGCTGCTTACAACCCAGACTTTGCCATCGTTGGTATACAAGGCGACAAATCGCCCATTGGGAGATACGCTAACATGTTTAAATGGACCGTTCTGTAACATGCGGTCTTCAGCCTCTGTCGCGTCTACAACGTAGATCGTTTGGTCAACTGCAAGGAGGACTTCGACAGAGCGTGAGAGCGTGTAATTGGGTGGAATCAATGACCATGAAGATACGTCGCCTTCGGGAGGAGATGCAAGTAATTTAGGCCGCGGTTCATCATAGCTCGAGACAGCAATGAGCTGATTGTTATTTAAGAGAGCAACGAAACCGTCCGACCAAAAACGGCAGGATTTCACACCATGTTCCTCTGCCACCTAAGGTAAAAAGTTAGACGAAGTCACAAAAGCGCTGGTTAGACACATGCCATACAGTTCCTAGAGAAAATGGCGTAAAGTCCGCATGTAAGCCATAATAACACCGCACGGTGCCATCTTGGGTTACTACAAGTAACCTCTCATCGTCCAACCAACCCAGGCCTCGGATTGATCCATGTTCCCACTAGATCAAATATCAGTATGAAGAGCGGAAACAAATAGAAAAGCTGAGTGCTATCACAAACATTAATCCGACTGATTCGTTTGCCAGAGCAAGAATAAATATCGATAGATGACTTCGCTGTCTCCGCATCTCTGTATCTCTGGAGTTTGCTTTCATCGCGATAAAGAGCTACGCCAGGTATTAGAACAGAACCATCAAATGTAACCAAGTGATTAGGTTTCTAGGCATTAATTCACCTATAGCTCCCCCATATGGAGCTCCAGCGACAATGAAGTTTTCCAACTCAAGCTCCTCGTCAAAGACAGCATCGTACACTCGGACCTTCCTGTAGAATCGGTCTCCCACCCTCTCCCAGTCAGCCAGAGGGTTTGTTGGGGCCATAGGAATTCCAACACCGGCATCAAACGGTGAATTGTATCGTCATGTCATAGGTCCTCTAGCTTTGAACGTCAAAATTGGGCTTAATCATAACATAGCTTGTCATATACAAGCAATACATAGACGCAGCAGAGGTTGATTGGAACATAGCTATCCCGTTTTGGACGATGCCTGGAGGCGCCGTATATTACGTAATTTATGATACCTTAGAATACTCCATTTACAATGGCTGTGGCACGAGATAATAATAGATTACGGTAATAGTAATACAGCCACATGTGACTTCCAACTCCATCCATCTTTCTTTGGATGCGACAACGAGAACGATGACAACAAGCATATGCTGTCACAGCGCCTCTTGATGTTGACAGCTATGATTGTCTGTTTGGAATGTACGCATTGAAGATCAGTCTCCGTATTCAATGGATTATCCTAGCCTTCATGACAGAGTAGAGGACCTGTCCGATATTGAGGTGGTCGTACTTCTCAGTCTTGTTGCGCGAGAGCATTGCATCATCGACACGGAAAGGGAGGTTTTGGATGATTTAGAAAATGAGCTGATTTTGGTATGCAACGGTCCTCTGAAATATATATAATATATATGTTACAAACTAAGTTGACATTCTGTTAGATTGCTGAAAATATCTTTGGCCTTTCCCACGCCACCCTGAATTGCTCGCCTGATACCACTGTGGAGGAGTTCAGTAATGCCATCCTGGCTCACGATGCTGAGAGGCCAGACTATGATAGACTATCGTCATTTACTAGTGGTGAAGGGGGGAGGGTAAGAGTTCCTTTTTCCCCTTTTAGAGCCTGCATGCTCGTTTTTGGCTTGTTACGTAGACGGGTTTCATCACTACCCTACAAAGAATGATATGGCTAATTTTATTGTAGAGCGTTGATCGGCTGCCCTTTGGAGGTGGACGGCTTTCTCTAGACAAATCTAGCTCGCGGGTACGAACAAGCGTCCTCGATGATCGCAAGGTGGTAAATGTTATCGTTGCCAAAAATTTCGATCTGGCACCGGATTATGTCCAACTACTAGCACTCGACGTATGTAAATATTTGGATTATTATCAGAAACGGATACATAGGATACCGGCAACTAAATGAATTGCAAAATTAGCTTATTCGAAATAAACGGATTTATACACGAACCTCTTTCCACAGTGCCCCTGAGACTTTTCTTTTTATTCCACTTGTTGAATCGAAACCACAGGGATTGTCCTCATTGTTGAATCGTCACCTGGTGAGTCCATTTATTCCGAGCTTCTATTCTTTGTGGATCAACCGGATGCTAAACCAAG